AAGAATCATGGTAAAAAAGCCATGAATTCTATGTGCAGTATTCCCCTAGCGCTGGAGTTCTGCCGTCCTCATTGATCGGTAAACTTGGTCTTGGCTGGCTGTTCTTGCTGATCTTCTGGGGGAGGGGCCTGTTGCCGTGGTTCCCAAAAGTCTTCGCTGCAGGCGGAATTGCCCCGCCCTCGCCAGTCAGGGCTAAGTAATCTGCTCCGGTTTGCCCCGAGCTTTAGTTCCTTGCAAGCTTTCCCTTCGACTTTGGAGGACGAGAGTGAAAATGGCGGCCTCCCAATCTCCGCCCCAGAGGAGCCGAGAACGTGGGGCCCCGCTCCTCAGTGCGCCCCCAGAGAAAAGCCGTCAGTCACTCCCGTCTCCCCAGTCTCCAGCCACACTCCGTGCTCACCGGACTGTGACCGAGCGTTTCTATCTCTGGCACCCAACCCCATGTGTAGTGTCCAAACGCAGCAGATCCCTGCGGTGCGCTACCGCGCCGCTCCTCCCGGGGGAGGACGGAGAGTCTCCCCGGATCTGCCGCTTGTTGGGTCCCTGCTGGAGGAGCAGTGGCCCGGCTGTCACCGATCACAGTTTATGGCCACCCCAAGCTGAGAGCCCGCTCCTTGGCTCCATCTCTGCAGCCGGCTTCCCTGCTCCATTACCTGGGAGCTCTGCCGCACTCAGGCACCCCCGGTCTTTCTGTGACCCCAAGGGTCCTGAGACCACAGTGTCTTGTGAGGGTCCCCCCCCTCGCTTAGCCACTGGAGCGATGTCCCTCAGCGGAGCCGACTTCTAAAAGTTCCGATTTTGTGCTTCGCTGCTCTATCACTTGCCAGAAGCCGACTACGATGGAGGCCCCCTCCCCTGCCGTCTATCCTCCCAAATATGGCCTTGGATTCACTTCTCCGCACGTCCTACCTTCCAGAAAGTGGCCGCTTTTCTGTTCAGAGAGTTGTTGCTATTCTTTTCTTCGATCTCCTGTTGAGTTGGTAGGTGTTCAGAATGTTTGATCCCTATCCAGCTGAATTCCTGGGACCAGACGAAATCCAGGTCTCCTTCTCCTCTGCCATCTTGCTCCACCCCCCTCCGCATGTCATTCTTAATGGTGAAATAGTGAGTGCTTTCCACCTAAGTTAGGGAGAAAAGCAAGGATATAAAGTTTCACCACTAACTGAAAGTCTTGCCAGCATAATTGGGGAAGAAAAAGTAGATAATTAGCTTATTAGCTTACCCCTATCTCCATAGTCTCTATCATAGCATTCTGTTTTTTTCTAATAGTTATTATGTATTTACTTTTTAAATTTACCTCCGTGTCACCAGTCTTCCTCAGTAAGCTCCAGGAGGGAGGGACCTAGCATTGTATTTGGCCTGTAATAAAGATTATAATATTTGATGTATAAATGAATACATGTAATGTTTGGGGAACCTTCTCCTCCCTAGCTTTTCATTTTTCTTGGGGAGAGATATTCACTAATTTATCCCCAGGGAAGAAGTGAAAGATTTCATTGGTTAGTTTAGTAGAAGAAGCTAGGTGAGTATAGCTCAGATTGTACCTTTTCTTCTCACTTACTGAGAGCACACATCCTATTCTCTTCTCCTGTGTGATAAATTTTATGGGGGTAGCCCATACTGCAGGGAAGGGAATGCTTATCATTGGGTAGATAAATCTGTTTAATTCAGGGGTGAAATATTAGCAAGCTTACCTGCCTATAAACCTAATATGTTTTCTCCAGTTCATCTTTACTAGTAATGTGGTCTATATTTTGATCTTTAGGTGTCTGACTTATGTTCTCTTCCTTTTCAAAAGTGTTAACAAACTTATCTTAAACTCTATCGTCTATCTAAAAACTAAAAAATTATTTATCAAAAAAATAGAATTGCAAACTACTATTTAGGAAAAAAAGTTGTAACATATATGGCAGGGAAAGGTTATCATTAAAATATAAGGAGCTCTTACTAGTCCATAAGAGAAAAACTCACTGCAATAGAAAACCAAGCAAACATAACCTGCAACTCACAAAAAAGAAATATACAAATGGCTAGTAATAATAGCTGTCATTCATTGAACTTACTGTGTACTATGTCCTTAACAATTTACCTGCATTATCTCATTTAATCTTTCAGCAACCCTGTAACATAATAATTTTTTTTTCATTTTACTGTAGCAAACACATAGTGTTTATTATGTGCTAGGTACTCTCTGAGCACATTACTCACATTCTACCCATTTTACAGATGAAGAAGCAGGCATGAAGAGCTTAGCCATTTGTGCAAATAGTTGAGCCAGTCTTTGAACTCAGGAGGTCTGACTTTAGATCCTTTGTTTTTTAACTACTACTCTATACTGCTTCACTATAAAACAAATATAATGCTTTCCTACTCTTATTTTGTTTCTAAATTTCAAAAACAGTATGTGATTGAACTAACAAATGTGAGCAATGCAACAGTGTGTAAAATAAAAAATAATTACCTTATTTGCACTCCTAAATTTAAAGGTAACAGCTATTGACAGCTTGGTATGCATTCTTCAAGATGTTGAAGAAAGGAAAATTTTTAAAATGAGGTACTGTTTTTCTGTGTATACCATTTGTATGTGTTAGTGGTTTTTAAAAACCTTTAACATACTACTGGCAAGTATATGGGGAGCAAGCATTTTGGTATACTACTGATGAGAGTGTGAATTGGTACAGTATATCTGGTGGACAATTTGGCAGTGTCTGTCAAAATTTTAAATATGCTTATCTATTCATTGTTTTTCAGGGAACTATTTCTAGGAAAAATAGAACAAATGCCCAAAAATGTTTAAGATGCATGCATAAAGATAAGGATATACCCTGCAAGGCTTATAGTAGTATTTTTTTTAACCCACCATTGGGAACAGCCCTTGTCTAACCTGTACAGGTTTGGAGAATTATTGTGTTACTATATAGTGATTTAAATAATAGTATACTTACAGTTTGTTTTTTTTCTTGTAAGATATATCAGAATAGATTTTAGAATTAAAGTTACTACCCCCTTAGGAAATCACAATTCCCTGAAAGTCACGGTCTCCACATTGAAAATCACTATAAGGAGATGTGTACAGAACTTATCAATATAGCACCTGATACTCAATAAATATCTGACATTACTATCTCTATATCTCCACAGTTAACATTTTTTGGTAATCAGAAATAAAAAACATAAAACAGAGTACCTCCGCAAAGCAACATATACCGTATTAACTATCAAAGGTTTGTGAAAGGGCGCCTGGGTGGCTCAGTCAGTTAAGCATTTGCCTTTGGCTCAGGTCATGATCCCAGGGTCCTGGGATTGAGCCATGCATTACATTGGGTTCCCTGCTCAGTGGGGAGTTTGCTTCTCCCTCTGCTCCTCCCCCCACTCATGCTCTCTCTGTCTCAAATAAATAAATAAAATCTTAAAAAAAAAAAAGTTTTGTGAAAGACCAATTCTTAGAATCAGCAGACATAAATTCAGCAGACATAAATACCCTCCAGGTATTCTTGTTCTTTGTGAACTTGGGCAAGTCCCTAATATTTTTTTTAAAGATTTTATTTATTTATTTGACAGAGAGAGTCAGCCAGCAGCAGAGGGAGAGGGAGAAGCAGACTCCCCACTGAGCAGGGAGCCTGATACAGAACTCGATCCCAGAACCCTGGGATCATGACTTGAGCCGAAGGCAGATGCTTAACCGACTGAGCCACCCAGGGCGACCAAGTCCCTAAATTTTTAAAATAACCTTATCTGCCAAATGGAGATATCAACCAAAGTGCCAAACTGGGGGTTATTTTAAGGAGCGAATGAGATAATAAAAGTGTAAATTATTTGAAAAATAAAGTGCTATACAAACAAATTTAGTGTAGGAAGCTGGTTTTAAGCATATTACTAGATTGTCTACTGCCTAGTATAATGCCTGAAATCTAGTGAGTGTACATTTCTTAGTTACATAATTCTGAATTTATAAATTGTGTGGTTTCTTCCTTCATATTCGAAGTTTGATTTATGTATAATTGTTTCATATGTAGAGTTTGAGCTTTTCACTTTCTCCCAGAATGTATTGTTATAATAGAAAAATAATTATTAAAATTTGTGTACATTTTTGTTCCTTTTTCTTACTTTAGGAATGGAACATTACTAAACTTTCAATTGAGTATGATTCTGAGCCTTTTGGAAAGGAACGAGATGCAGCTATTAAGAAACTGGCTACTGAAGCTGGAGTAGAAGTAATTGTACGAATTTCACATACATTATATGACCTGGACAAGTAAGTTTTTTTCTTTTATTTTTTATGGTAAAATACATATAATATTTGTTATCTCAACCATTTTTAAGTGTACAGTTCAGTGGTATTAAGTACATGGACAAGGGGTGCCTGGATGGCTCTGTTGGTTAAGTGTCTGACTCTTGATCTCAGCTCAGGTCTTGATCTCAGGGTCATGAGCCTAAACCCCACATTAGGCTCCACGCTGGGCATTTAAAAAAAAAAAAAAAAAGTACATGGACAAGTAAGTTTTAACCTGTGGGAGTTTTTTAAAATGGAAGGAACAGCATATACATAATAGAATTGTGGGAGAATTAAATGAATATGTCAGACCCTTAGCATTTTATTTAACTGCTCTGATTTTTTAATTTACTCAGTGACAGATGCCAAAATTACAGACGTAGTGAGTGCATAAGATAAAAATACTTAGAATTTCAGTTTCAAACTGTTAAGAGTATCACAAAATTTACCTTGACTATTCTAACTCAGCCTGTGGTCTTGCCTCTCTGGGCTCTTAGCAATATTAATTTCATAGTTTATATGACACAAAACCATGAAATGCTGTGATATATTTAGTACGATTGCATGAAGTTTTTTTATTTCATGTGTGTTCATCTTGTCGATCTGGATTTTAAGTCCAGTTGCCAATTATATGTAATACTCCTTTCTATAGCTGTAGTCCTCTGAACAGTGGCATAATATCTTATTTCTCAAAGTGTATACCATTTCTTGGTGATGCTTTGTCCAAAAAAAGATTCTGTGGTCAAGTTTAAATTTAGGAATTATTATATGCTTTGAGTTTTGAAGGTTCACGAGATTCATTAACTTAGTAACTTTTGGCATACTGTTGTCTTCAAAAGTGCTGAACTTGAAATCTCATAATTTATGTACCTTTTAAATTATTTTGCTTTTATTTACTCATTTTATCTAGTTAATAAAGCTAATTTTATAAATTACATGACAAACTAGTTAATTTTATTCTACTTTTCCAAACGTATGAAAAAACTGTGGCTTGATTTCAGGCAGGGGTCTTATTTGCTATCAGAAGTCATATATCTCTTGAAAATAAACTTGCCTTCTAGTTTACCAGTTTTCTTAACTTTAGGAAGCTGATAGCAAGAAGGAAGTATATTTGGGTTGGAGGGGCAGGACTTTCCCTTTTTCCCTTCTAACTTCCTGGCTGGTCTAATAATTAAATTGACTTAAGACAGATTAACAGGAGAAAAATAAATTTAATTCATATGTCCAGGATATGAGACTGAAAGAAGTGAGCAAAGCAGGCAGCTTTTACACCTTTTAGACAAAAAAAAAAAAAAGTAAGTTAGTGAAGAAATGCCAAGACAAATAAGTTTGGGTTTAGGGTAGCAAATGGGTGAAGTTTATACAGCCTTCTCAGGCATGAATTAACCTGTCTCAGGTGATAAGGATATCTTTTACTCTCCAGGTTCTGGGAAAGTACCCTTCACATAGAGAATTTATTTCTTGCTTTCAGGGAGACAGAGCAGGGTCAGAGTTCCTTCTTATACTGACTGTTTCTTAAGTAATTTTAATTCAAAGTAATCAATATGCCAAAGTGACATATTTTGGGGCAACCTGTCCCAAATCCCATCAGAAGCAAAATAGTGGGAAATTTAGTGTTATGTATATAATTGGATTGGTTAGTGGATTGAATGTGAATATTTACCATATATAATTCATCATATAAAATGTAACATACAGAAAACATTTTTCTCAGGTCTTTATTTTGCTTAAGTTCTATAATTAGCAGTGTCTTCACTAGTATCACTGCAGTATCACTACAGTCCACAAGTTTCATTATGACCCTATGTATAAACTCAAAGTATTACACTGAAACAAAACTACTAATAGCAGAGAGGATAGTTTTTGTGGTGTTTACTTTCTATACATACAATTTATATGTAATTATATGTGGAATAATGAAAAATGTACTTTTTTAAAATTTTTTTCATCATGATAAAAGTGTACTCTTTAATCCCCATCACCTATTTACCCCATATCCCGCTTCACCTCCCCTCTGGTAACCATCAGTTTGTTCTCTGTAGTTAAGAGTCTGTTCCTTGATTTGTCTCTTCCCCCCACCCTGCCCGCTTGTTTTGTTTCTTACGTTCCACATATGAAATCATTTGGTATTTGTCTTTCTCTGACTGATATATTCCACTTAGCATCATACTCTCTAGCTCTGTCCATGTTGTTGCAAATGGCAAGATTTCATTCTTTTTTATGGCTGAATAATATTCCATTATATATATACATATATATATGTATATATATACACACACACACACATACGTACATACATACATACCACATCTTTATCCATTCATCTATCGATGGACACTTGGACTGCTTCCATAGTTTGGCTATTATAAATAATGCTGCTATAAATGTAGGGGTGCATGTATCCCTTTGAATTAGTGTTTTTGTATTTGGGGGGTAAATACCCAGTAGTGCAATTACTGGATCTTAGGGTAATTCTATTTCTAACTTTTTGGGGAACCTCCATACCGTTTTACACAGTGACTGCACTAATTTGCATTCCCACCAAGAGTGCAAGAAGATTCCCTTTTCTCCACATCCTCACCAACACTTGTTTCTTGTGTTTTTAATTTTATCCATTCTGACAGGTGTGGGGTGATACCTCATTGTAGTTTTGATTTACATTTCCCTGATGATGAGTGATACTGAGCATCTCTTCATGTGTCTGTTGGCCATCTGGATGTCTTCTTTGGAAAAATGTTCGTGTGTTCTGCCCATTTTTAACTGGATTATTTGTTTTTTGGGTGTTGAGTTTTATAAGTTCTTTATAGATTTTGGATACCAACCCTTTATCAGATATGTCGTTTACAAATATCTTCTCCCATTCAGTAGGTTGACTTAGTTTTGTTGATTGTTTCCTTTGCAGAAGCATTTTATTTTGATGTAGTCCCAGTAGCTTATTTTTGCTTTTATTTCCTTTGCCTGAGGAGACATATCTAGAAAAATGTTGCTACAACTGATGTCAAAGTAATTACTGCCTGTGCTGTCTTCAAGGATTGTTTCGGTTTCAGGTCTCACATTTAGGTCTTTAATCGGTTTTGAGTTTATTTTCGTGTATGGTGCAAGAAAGTGGTCCAGTTACATTCTTTTGCATGTAGCTGTCCAGTTTTCTTAACACCATTATTTTATTTATTAATTTTAGTTGACCATATATGGTCAATTGTGGGTTTATTTCTGGGCTATCTATTCTATTCCGTTGATCTATGTGTCTGTTTTTATGCCAATACCACACTGTTTTCATCACTACAGCTTTGTAGTATAGTTTGAAATCAGGAAGTGTGATGCCTCTGGCTTTGTTCTTTCTCAAGATTGCTCTGGTTATTCAAGTCTTTTGTGGTTCCAAATAATTCTATATTTGTTCTAGTTCGCGTTTGTTTTTGGTGCCGTGCTTCTTGGCGGCGGTCAGCTCCTGCTCCATCTTAGTCTCCAGGAATTCCTGCTTCTTACTTAGCATCTCCTCCGTGTCCCGCAGCCGCTGGATGTTATCCTGAGGGGTCGGGCCGCCCTTGCCGGCCTTGCCCCCTCTTGCCCTGAACAGTTTCCGGAAAATCGACATGGTGGCTGCTGGCCGCGCTGGCCTGCGCCGCCCACTCCGGCTCGGCTCAGCTGGGCTCCAGCGCCCGCTCTCGGTCCCGCCACTCCCTGCCGCCGCAGGCCTCTCCGCCGCCTCCGCCCCGCAGCCTTAACACCATTTATTGAAGAGACTTTTTCCCATTGTATATTCATTCTTCCTTTGTTGATGATTAACTGACCATATGTAATTGTGGGTTTATTTCTGGGTTTTCTCTTCTATTCCACTGATCTGTGTGTCTCTTTTTATGCCAGTACCATACTGTTTTAATTACTGCTACATTGTAATATAACTTGAAATTTGGAATTGTGATACCTCTGGTTTTGTTTTTCTTTTTCAAGATTGCTTTGGCTATTCGAGGTCTTTTGTGGTTCCATACAAACTTTAGAATTGTTTGTTCTCGCTCTGTGAAAAATGCTGTTGATATTTTGATAGGGGTTGCATTAAATGTGTATATTGCTTTGAGTAGTGTAGACATTTTAACAGTATCTTTTGTGTTAATTTTAAGTTTGTTTATGTAATCTCTACACCCAACGTGGAACTCCCCCCAACATCAAGAATTGCACGTTCTTTTGACTGAGCCAGCCAGGCGGCCCATCAGTATTTGTTCTTTCAGTGCATGAGCATGGAGTGTCTTTCCATTTCTTTGTGTCATCTTGAATTTCTTTTGTCAGTTTTTATAGTTTTTGGAGTACAAGTCTTTCACCTCTTTGATTAAGTTTATTAAAAAAAGATTTTTTTTTTTGGTGCAATTGTAAATGAGATTCTTTTCTTAATTTCACTTCCAAATTCATTCTATGAGGCCAGTATCAGCCTGATACCAAACCAGATAAAGACACCATAAAAAAAGAGAACTATAGGTCAATATCTCTCATGAATATAGATGCAAAAATCCTCACAAAATACTAGCACACTGATTCGAACAGTACATTAAAAAGGAGGAGGGAAATTTAAAGTATGTCCATAAGATACATATGCTGACATATTTAACAAAGGCATGATGAGCACAACAGAAAGTAGCAAGTGATTATCACTATAGTATATAGAATCCTAATTAATAAGACTTGCTTTATTGCCTCTCAATATAATATTGGTCTGGTTTGGTTTTTACTGATGATTAAGAGATTCTTTGAGCTGCGTTGTAGTATGTTTTTACCTTTTCATATATATTATTTTTATGTTATTACTTTTAGGCTGATTTAACCACTTGTTTTTTTCACTCATAGATACTAAATAATACCCTTTGTCTTAAAGGTTTTGTTACTTGTGTGCTGTATATTTTTGACACATAGCAGATGTCTAGAAAATGAAGAGAATAATTTTTAGATTCATTAGCCATTTTAATAAGTTTCTTGGTCATAAGAGAAGCTTATATCCTCCTGGAAGTCAAGTAATTAATTTTTGTTTTCTGATTTTAAGCATTTTCAGAAGTTATCAATCAAAATATATTGTCATTTCTTAATACTAACTGCATTTTACTAACTTTTTTTTTTGCACTTTACTTACTTTGTAATAGGATCATAGAACTCAATGGTGGACAACCACCTCTTACTTATAAGAGATTCCAGACTCTCATCAGCAAAATGGAACCACTAGAGATACCAGTAGAGACAATTACTTCCGAAGTGATAGAAAAGTGCACAACTCCTCTTTCTGATGACCATGATGAGAAATATGGAGTCCCTTCATTAGAAGAATTAGGTAGGTATAAATGAAGCTTGAGAGTTAATAAATCACTCAGAAAATCTCACTTCTAATTTGACATGTAAAGTATTTTGCATTAAGAGGGAAAGAAAGAAAAAATCTAAAAGAAACTCTTAAACTAAGAAGTGATAAATCTGTGCATTATGTGTGCTATAAATGTGATCTGTTAATCACCTTAAGATGTTTGTCCTAAAAAATAGAGACCATATTATATCCTTATATGTGAAGACCTATCCAGGGCCCTCAGTTCATTTTTATGCTACTGTTAGAATTTTTCTGTGAAGTATTTTTTCCCAATTATTGTGGTTCAATAAAAATTATTTTAGTTACAGAAGAATATCTTTTTCTTTTTTCTGTTTTTTTTTTTTTTTTTTTTTTTTTTTAGGTTTTGATACAGATGGCTTGCCCTCTGCAGTATGGCCAGGCGGAGAAACTGAAGCACTTACACGTTTGGAAAGGCATTTGGAAAGAAAAGTATGATAATATAGGTCATGCTTGTATTTCCAAACTGGCATTTAAAAAATAATTTCACTCTCTTTTAAAAACAAAAAATAGTCTGTTGAAAAGAAGAATTGAGAGAAATAGTTAAAATAGCATAGACCTAAGTGTTTGAAAATTAACAACCATCGCCTCATTTAAATATGTTTTTCCTCCTCTGCTGACTATTTCTTCTTTAGCTACTACCAATACTATCTCTTCTTTTCTTTCTGTGTAAGCTGGTATCTGATGACCATAACTTTGAAGCTAAGATAAAGTTCTTCTATTTCACCTTTACCTCAGTGTCAAGGAGATAGGTTGAAAGTGTCTCAGCTTGGTGTTAGGAATTTGAAGATAATTTATTTCACATGAGTATGTGCTACACGAGGATGGCTGAAACAAAAGAATGCTCACTTTTATTCTGTTGTGTTTATTAAAACGTGTTTGTGACTGGGATAATAAAATTTTATTCCCCAAGAACTATGTAACTTTTTTAGAAAAAAATATGTCAGTTTTAAACACTCTTCTAAAATGGAAAAGGCAGTTAGCCAGCATAATTCTCTCTGTGTGTTTTCAGGCTTGGGTAGCAAACTTTGAAAGACCTCGAATGAATGCAAATTCCCTGCTTGCTAGCCCTACTGGACTCAGCCCTTATCTCCGATTTGGTTGTTTGTCATGTCGACTGTTTTACTTCAAGCTAACAGATCTCTACAAAAAGGTATTACCTAAAACTGAAGCTAATTTTTCAAAATACTTCTTTAAAAAATTGCTGGTAATACTTCTTTGCTTTTTAACCTTAGGTAAAGAAGAACAGTTCCCCTCCCCTTTCCCTTTATGGGCAACTGTTATGGCGTGAATTTTTCTATACAGCAGCAACAAATAATCCACGCTTTGATAAAATGGAAGGAAATCCCATCTGTGTTCAGATTCCTTGGGATAAGAATCCTGAGGCTTTAGCAAAATGGGCAGAAGGCCGGACAGGCTTTCCATGGATTGATGCCATCATGACACAGCTTCGTCAGGAGGGTTGGATTCACCATTTAGCCAGACATGCAGTGGCTTGCTTCCTGACCCGAGGTGACCTGTGGATTAGTTGGGAAGAAGGAATGAAGGTGAGTATTCTTCTAATGTAGCAGAGTCTTATTTTGAGCCTATACCTTATTAAAACAATTCCTAGAAGTTGTCTGTTACTTAGATTCATTTATAGTCTAATTTTTTTCAGCAGGTAAAGAATTTAATTCCCTAATACAGGCACACTCTTGGAGAGCAGAATGGTGTAATCAGACAGGAAAAATGGTGAAAACTGGTTTGATTATAACCTCAAGTCATTTCAGACACTGAACCAGCCTAGCCATCGAGGGAACAATAAGGTTTAACACTCTGGACTCATTGGATTAACATATTTATAGATGATCGTTTCTGTTACAAGAAGATTTGCCCAAGAATTCTTAGAAATCACGAATTTATATTATAAAATTTAAAATATATATCATTTTGCCTCACTACATTATCATAACTTTTTAATGATATGTAAAGTGAAGCATACTACATTTTGTGACATCATCTTGTGGTTATATATAATAGGACTTGTTTTACCTTCCTGTCTATATCATATATTTCCCCTATCCAAGGACCATTTCTGATCCCTTTCTTTTTTTTTTTTTGCATCTCCTGTATTTCCTTGTACAAAGTTGTACATGAGGTGGATGTATAGTAAACACTTAATGAATTTATAAAAAGGCATTTTAAATCTGTTTCCCTTTTGGTCAAGGAATTCCAGATTTAAACTCTATAATGCTAGTGCTTTTTTTGTGTGTGTGCTTTTTCACTAGTGTATTTTTTGTTTTTTTTTGGATTTTTTCACAAGTGCATTTTTAAAAGTCATTTTTATTTGGGTGCTCCCTATATGTAGGCCAGTATACCAGGCTTCTCAGTTTTTGTTAGTGATTTATTTGATAGTATCTTTCCTTTCTTGAAAGTGTTTACTGCTTTTTTTCTTCCCTTTTTAATTGAATCAGTGACTTGAGTCATTATTTTACCCTCCCCCCAGTAACACAGCAAAGACTAGAAAGGTTAATTCACTTATATTACTGATCTTTTTCTTTCCCTGAAATAACTCATTACAGAACAGAACACTGACAAGGAGGCTAACTTTGGAATGTTTAATTTTACAGTTCTGTGCTAGATTTTCTTTGCCTTGACTTTTGATCTACAGAGACCTGGAAAATGCTTGCTTTGAGAATTATATGTGTACAAACTAATTGGTTACTGTTACTTCTGAAGGTATTTGAAGAATTATTGCTTGATGCAGATTGGAGCATAAATGCTGGAAGTTGGATGTGGCTGTCTTGTAGTTCCTTTTTCCAACAGTTTTTTCACTGCTATTGCCCTGTTGGTTTTGGTAGGAGAACAGATCCCAATGGAGACTATATCAGGTAAATCAAGGGTGATTATTATTCAGTTTGGAATAACTAATCCAGGAAGAGCTTTTCATGTTTAAGCAACACTTAAGGTTTTCCCCACTCATGATGGGCAGCAGAGATGAGGAGATAGGTAAACAAATCATTAAATGGTATTGACTTGATTTTGGTCATTCATAGCTAATAGTTTGTTATAATTTGCTTGTAGTTCATTTTATTAATAATTTTTCTTCCTTCTCCCAAAAGGCGTTATTTGCCTGTACTAAGAGGTTTCCCTGCAAAGTATATCTATGATCCCTGGAATGCACCAGAAGGTATCCAAAAAGTAGCCAAATGTTTGATAGGAGTTAATTATCCTAAACCAATGGTGAATCATGCTGAGGCAAGCCGTTTGAATATTGAGAGGATGAAGCAGATCTATCAGCAGCTTTCACGATATAGAGGACTAGGTATGTCATTAATTATGTTTGGTTTGTTTCTTTGGCAGGTGTTTATGTACCTATCCTTGAATTTGATCTTGATCATAATTTAATAGGAAATTTTTTCCCTTTAGGTCTTCTTGCATCAGTGCCTTCTAATCCTAATGGGAATGGAGGCCTCATGGGGTATTCTCCTGGAGAAAATATTCCAGGTTGTAGCAGCAGTGGAAGTAAGTGAAAAGGAAATTTCTGTACTTAGCCACATAAAGAGATTAATAATCAAATATATTTTTTATTAAATCTCACTGTAATGTTTTTTCTGCGTACATGTATACACACACACACACACACACACACACACACCCGTCATTGTGACATTTTGGAGATGGAAAGCATCATTACATGTAGTAGAATTTAGTTCAAAGTAAAGATCTTGCAAACTGAATGAAGAGGGCAATTTTTTTTAATTAACATATAATGTATTATTTGTTTCAGGGGCACAGGTCTGTAATTCATCAGTCGTACACAATTCACAGTGCTCATCATAGTACATACCCTCCCCAATGTCCATCACCCAGCCACCCCATCCCTCCCAAACCCCTCCACTCCAGCAACCCTCAGTTTGTTTCCTGAGATTAAGAGTCTCTTATGGTTTGTCTCCCTCTCTGGTTTCATCTTGTTTCATTTTTCCCTTCCTTCCCCTATGATCCTCTGTCTTGTTTCTCAAATTCCTCATATCAGTGAGATCATATGATACTTGTCTTTCTCTGACTGACTTATTTCACTTAGCATAATACCCTCTAATTCCATTCATGTCGTTGCAAATGGCAAGATTTCATTTTTTTTTTTGATGGCTGCATGATATTGAGGAGGGCAATTTTAAGGGTAAGATGAAACTCAAATATCCCATTTTATTTTATTTTTATTTTTTTTAAAGATTTTATTTATTTATTTGAGAGAGAGAGAATGAGAGATAGAAAGCACGAGAGGGAAGAGGGTCAGAGGGAGAAGCAGACTCCCTGCTGAGCAGGAAGCCCAATGTGGGACTCGATCCCGGGACTCCAGGATCATGACCTGAGCCGAAGGCAGTCGCTTAACCAACTGAGCCACCCAGGCGCCCTATCCCATTTTCTGAAGGCTCATTATTTTTTACTTTCTTTAGGTACATATCAGGTATAAGGTAATTAGTTAAGGTCAGTGGTCCTGTGAATATGGTCAAAAGATTTATCATACACATACATAGGGCCTTTAGTCTTTTTACACATGAGTTTTTCCTTCCAGTCTTGTTTGTAGTGATTTTCCATATGATACATACTTAGTTGCCACATATATTCTTAATGTATGATATTAATAATGTCAAGAAGCCAGTACTGGAAATTTGAGTCATTGTATCAGTTTTTAAAGGTTCTAACCAAAATAGCATGAGGCTAATTAATTTGATTAAAAACAAGGCAGCATTTGAGGAATGCTTATTTTTTTCCAAAAAGTCACATGTTTAAAATTGATATTAAGAACAAAACCTTTAAAAAATTGAACTTTCTTATTCAGAAATACTCTGTATCCTTTTGAGAGCATATATTTTTTTTTCTCAACAATTAGATTAAGAAGAAAGGAACAGAGCACTCACATTTTGACTATCTACTTTATGCCCAGTACAAGGGGATTTTTTGCCACATTCTCACAATAATCTGGGGAGGTGGTGGTGGAAATAGGCCAAGAAAGGTTAGGTAACTTAATCAACATCCCAATCCCACAGTTACTAAGTAGTTGAGCTAAGATTCAGATCCAGGTCTGACTAGTTCAAAAGTTCTTATTGGCCCCCCCACCCTGCAAATGTAATGCCATATATAGCGTTTAAAAGATAAAGCATTTTTTTACTGGAACGTGTCTCACTTAGCGGTCTGGTAGTAGGTCAGTGATGGCAGTATACTTCAGACGTGTTCTTCTCCGAGCTACATTTTGAACTTCATCAGGGTATCAATTCAATAGTTTGTCAGATCTCTTGTTCAGTTCACAGCCTGCCTGCTTCCTCTGTCCATACATGAATTTGAGGGACAGAAGTTCTGTGAAGCACATAAATAACAGGCAGGTAACAGAAGGGTAGGAAGCAACAGGTTCCAGATACCCGACTAATGGATAGTGATGGTGCATACTGCTTCTTGGTCCACTCAAATCTGTATTCATTATTTGGAGTTATCTGCAAAAACTAACCATGGTAGCAAGTTAAATTGGAATAATTTTGCTTTACAAATATACATGATATTTTACGATATAATAGGATTAATAAATCTTGAAGTACTCTAATCGTGTAAATAGTTGCCTGTAACACACTCTGTAGTTAGGTGCTGTGAGGCTTTCAAGTGTAAATGGGGGGAAGAGAAACACAAATGAAAAAAATTATAAACTGTAAGATGCTGCTTCCACATGCAATAAGAAAAGAAACAGTCATTGAGAGCTGAAGGAAAACTACAGAAGTTTTCTTGGAAGATGGTGGGATGGGGTAGCATTTGGGTAGGCAGATGAAGGAGAAAGCATTGTGGACCTGGAAATGGGAGTGATTGTGGAACAATCCTGAGGATTTGGACTAGGCTATTAAGCATTTTTCTTCCCTCTAGTTTCTGTTCCATTTGAAAGGACTTGGATATTTCTGAAGCATATCCCTTTATGCCCTCTACTTACCCTGTTTGTAGACTTTTATTTTACAGTGTCTCACAAGGCATATCAAAGGGCAAGATTCTTTATAACTTGTACACAGATGACTTGAAGTATTTTGTTCTTTTTTTTTTTTTGAAGAGATTTTATTTTTATTTATTTGACAGAGAGACAGCCAGAGAGGGAACACAAGCAGGGGGAGCAGGAGAGGGAGAAGCAGGCTTCCCGCAGAGCAGGGAGCCAGATGCAGGGCCCGATCCCAGGAGCCTGGGATCATGACCCGAGCCAAAGGCAGACACTTAACGACTGAGCCACGCAGGCGCCCCAGTATTTTTGTTCTTATAATAAAACAAATCACAGATCTCTTTACAATAGTAATATGTTTGTATTTATTTAATTTTTTCTATTAAAAATACCCTTTCAGCATTATTAGTCCTTAGGGAAATGCAAATCAAAACCACTAAGAGACTTCCCACTGAGGGTAACCAACTATCACTGATTACCTGGGATTGAGGGGTTTCCTGAGACATGAGACTTGCAGTGCTAACACTTGAAAAATCCCGGACAAACTTGGGTGAGTTTGTTACCCTGTACCCACTCGAGTATCTAAAAAATGACAGACAATAACAAGTGTTATGGAGGATGTGAAGAGACTGGAACCCTCATATGTTGTTGAGAGGTGGTCTGTAAAATGGTACAGCCACTTTGGGAAACAGATTAGCAGTTTCTTAAAAGCTAAACATAAATTTAGCATATAACCCAGAAATTCCATTCCTGAGTATCTATCCAAAAGAAATGAAAACATATATCTACACAAAGTCTTAAGAATCATAAGAATGTTTATGATAGCTTTATTTATAATAGTCAAAATGTGGCACATCCATTCAAAGGAATATTAATCCATAAGAAGGAATAAAATGCTGGTACGTGCTACAACATGGATAGACCTCAAAAATACTATGTGAGGTTAAAGAATCCAGATATAAAAGACCACATACTGCACAATTCCATTTGTATGAACTATCTAGAAAAGGCATTTCTTTAAAATGAGGTAAGTTAATGGTTACCTTAGGTTTAGGGGTAGGAATGAGAATGAATGCAATGGGCATGAAAATGTTCTAAAACTGGATTGTGCAAATGATTACACACTCTGTAAATTTACTAAAATTTATTGAACTGTATACTCAAAACAGGTGAATTTTATGTTATGTAAATTACACCTCAAAACTGCTTAAAAAAAACCCACCCAATTCACTATATACAATTTAGGAAATTCAGAAAAATAGAAAAGAAGAAAAATAAAAATCACCCACAATTCCATCCAGTAAAGATAGTTACTATTAAATTTTGGTATATTTCCTTTGAATATCTTTTCTATGCATTTTCCCCCCACAGTAGCTTAGAGTTAGAATTTTTTTTAAAACATTTTATTTATTTGGGGTACCTGGGTGGCTCTGTCAGTTAAGTGTCTGCCTTTGGCTCAGGTCATGATTCCAAGGTCCTGGGATCGAACCCCATTGGGCTTCCTGCTCTCCCTCTCCTCCCCACTCATGCTCTCTTCTTGCTATCTCTTTCACTATCTCTGTCTCTCTCTCTCAAATAAATAAGTAAAATCTTTATTTGAGAGAGAGAGAGAGCACGCACAAGCAGGGGGAGGGAGAAGCAGGCTCCCCACTGAGCAGGGAGCCCTATGTGGGGCTCCATCCCAGGACCCTGGGATCATGACCTGAGCCAAAGGCAGATGCTTGATGGCTGAGCCACCCAGGTGCCCCAATTTACTGCATTTTTATGGGGAAGTTATAGGTAGTTGAGATATTCATGAATTTAGGGACACAGGAGGATTCTAAGTGCCTGCTTATTTAACTCTCTAAAGAAATAAACTGCTATTTAAGGAAATTCTGAATGTATTTATTGAGCTTATTAATTTACCCCCTCATCTTGAAAAGTAATCATTCTCCTGATTTCTAATACTATAATTTTTTGCCCATTTTTGAACTTTATAGAATCCTGTAGTTTGTATTCTTTTTTGTATCTGGCTGCTTTCACTCAGTATTTTTTTTTTTATGAGATTATTCTCATTTGTCTTAGAACTGGAAGAGGAATAAAATTGAAGTTGAGAAAATGAGGTGACTAGTCTGTGATTTAGCCTACCTCTGAATCTTCCAGTAAAATTGACTTTTCCTTCCTCAGTGTCCTCATTGTATGCTGTAACAACTTCCATCCCAGAGCCATTATAATAACACTTATTTGTACTTAGTGATTTTATGTATCTGTCACCTTCTACTTGGACTGTGAGCCCCTTGAAGACAAGACCTCATATCTTAGTAATATTTGTATCCCTAGTACCTAGTATAATCTCTAGCATAAAGGAGCACTCAACAAATGTATAAGGTACGACTAAATACAATAATTGAAAATGTATTTGTTGAAGTTTCCTTTTTTTTTTAATTTGTTTATTTTAGAGAGAGTGTGTATGTGAGCAGGGGGAGGGACAGAGGGAGATGGAGGGAATCCCAAGCAGACTCCCTGCTGAGTGGGGAGCCTGATGCAGGGCTCGATCCCGAGATCATGACCCGAGCAGAAACCAAGAGTCCAGTGCTCAACCGACAGAGCCACCCAAGTGCCCCTGTTGAAGTTTTCTTTTTTTTTTTTTTTTATTTATTTATTTATTTGAGAGAGAGAGAATGAGAGATAGAGAGCATGAGAGGGAAGAGGTTCAGAGGGAGAAGCAGACTCCCCGCCGAGCAGGAAGCCCGATGTGGGACTCGATCCCGGGACTCCAAGATCATGACCTGAGCCGAAGGCAGTCGCTCAACCACTGAGCCACCCAGGCGCCCCCTGTTGAAGTTTTCTTGATAGCAAAATATATGTAACATAAAACTTAGCATTTAACCATTTTAAATGTACAATTCAGTGGATTTAAGTACATTCACATTGTTGTGTGAAGTTTTAAATAATCTTGTACAATAATGCAAGACAGCAATTACCACTATTAGGGGAAGCCCTGCTGATGGTAAAACCAGGAATAGCACCATTCAGTGGTCAATTTGCCATAGGTCCAGAATCTGATCTTCAACAAGTCCAAGAACTGAGTGTTTTTAGTATAATTAGAGGTGACCATCCTGTGACTGGCAGACCAGAAGTTTAAAACTCATGTGATTTAGGGGCGCCTGGGTGGCTCAGTCAGTTAAGCATCCGATTCTTGATTTTGGCTCAGGTCATGATCTCAGGGTCATGAGATTGAGTGAGCCCTGCATCAGGCTCCACACTGGTTGTGGAGCCTGCTTAAGATTCTCTCTCTCCCTCTGCACTACCCCCTAAATCAATCAATCCATCCATCCATACACACACACACACACACACACACACACCAACCATGTAATTTAAAATATCAGGGGCGCCTGGGTGGCTCAGTCGGTTAAGCATCTGCCTTCGGCTCAGGTCATGATCCCAGGGTCCTGGGATCGAGTCCTGCATCGGGCTCCTTGCTCAATGGGGGAGCCTGCTTCTACCTCTGCCTGCCACTCTCCCTCCTTGTGCTCTCTCCCTCTCTTTCTCTCCCCGCTCTCTCTCTGACAAATAAATTTAATCTTTAAAAAATATATGTTTTGACAGAGAACACTAGTTTATTATTTATGGTGGAGGTATCCCTTTCCAGGGATGGAAGCCCTCATCCCTGATCAGGGCATTCACTTTCCCAATTTTGAGTACCTGAAAAGCTGAATTCTTTATCCAGAGGAACTTGATGAGCATGAAATTACAATAAAAAATAAGTAGATTGCCTTGTTCAGACCATGAGGTGACTTCTCTGTAGGGGCTAGAATGTTTATATTTGTCCATAATCTGGACACACTGACAAAAATGTTACTCTAGAACCTACTTTCTGTGCCAACCCATTCTCCTGTAACGTTGTTTCTTTTTAGAAGGGTTAATGTAATCGCTTAGGCTAGGTAACTGCCACATTGTACTTCCTCCTCTTTGTGTGCTTTGAATTGTTTAATTCTCATCTGGCAGACCCTCATTCACTTCTCTCCAAGGACATATGTTTTGGACAGGCACTGAGGGAAGAATGTGGACTAAAGAGACAGGAGGGGAAAGGACGATATATAGCTCACTGTTGCTCTATATTTTGCTTCCATGGTCAAGGGTCTAATTGTTACTCAGTAAAGGAATGTTTTTTAGAAAATGAGTATCAGTGATTTTGCCTTTGAACCAAAAGTCAACATTTCCATGACCTTAAGTTTAAATTTTCCTGATTTGGGCATGTGATTTTTGGTTCATATGAAGGATTGAGGTTTAGCCCTGAAAAGCATAAATGCCCTTAATACCGTTACTAAAAATTAGGTTTGTTGTCTTAATACATACGACTTGGGATTTAAGTAATTTTACTGTGTTTTAAATACTAACAGGTTGCTCTCAAGGGACTGGTATTTTACAGTATCCTCATGGAGACAGTCAGCAAACTCACCTATTAAAGCAAGGTAAGAACGAAGGATTTGAGCATACTGTTCTTTTTACCATTCCTATCTTAAACATACGTTTAAAAAAAAAATACATTTTTTTAAATATGTAGGAAGAAGCTCCATGGGCACTGGTCTCAGCAGTGGGAAACGTCCTAGCGCGGAAGAGGACACTCAGAGCATCGGTCCTAAGGTCCAGCGACAGAGCACTAATTAGGTAAATATTTTAGACCTTTATTTCTTGCTTTAGTGTAGTGTGTGATCAACATAAATTAAGACAATTTCCAAAATGGAGCTAATCATTTTTTTTCAAACTAGAGAAACTGAGACTTAAATTTTTCAGTGATTGTTACAAAATCAGTTAATTCTTAGATAAGAGAAGTTCATCTCTACTGGACAAATTGCACTTAGTTTTATGGTCATCTTAATTGATGATCTTTAAATTTGAAAAAGTAATAATGTTGTGCTCAAGTTTTTTCTCAGAAAAAGACATCTTTTTCAATTCCTTACTATGTGACCATGAGTTTAAAACAATTAAAGTGACTTTTTATTTTAGTGGTATTAACATAATCTCTTTATGAACTTTTCCCCAAATCTTTGCCTCTTAAATGTTTATAAGTTTCTTTTATCTGTTGTGATACTTCTGAAATCTAAATTCTTTCCAGTTAAGGAATAGTTTAATTTTTTTTTAATATTGGCCCTTTTTAAAGGTATCAAAAAGCCATGGCTATATTCAGTTGAACTGGATGTGGGATACTGTTTTATGATTTAAGTTTATATGAAAAGTATCTAAAACAGTACATTTACCAGTTTTCAAAGATGTTTCTTCAGTTATCTTAAACTGTTTGCATTTTTTAAATTACTGCTAATTTATCATGTTGAGCATTGAGTAACGTATAGAATTGTTGAATCAGTATGATGTACACCTGAAACTTAATATAATATTGTCTGTCAGTTATACTTCAGTAATAATATATATATGAACAGCAATAATAAAAAGTAAAAGTTTAAAAAAATTGCTGTTTTTTTAGCACCAACCCTAATTAGACTGTACATTTGTTGACGATAAGATCAGTAAACACTCATCAAATTTTTATCTTTTAATTCCTTGCAGTCAAACTTTACCCATTTTTTTTTTTTCCCGCTTAAATCACAGAAAACATTCAGGAGGAATACTGTTGCAGCTGAAATTGGTGGGGAGTGCACTACTTTTTTCAGTTAAATTATTTTAAAATGTTCTTCATTGTTGGAAAGCAGTTACATTTTGAAATGCATTGTTTCTAATGACATTTCTATAGTTTTAAACTTTTTAATGAATTTCACATAGGACAAATGGTAATTTGTATATAAATAACTTGGTAAAAATTTTGCTTAATGTAAATATAAACAGTCACAATTAATATAGACCCATCAATATATTTTTGATAATTTTTCATGTCTGGTAAAAGTTAAAGTGGCAAACTGATATTCTGATATAAAAATCAAAGTTTTGAGAGTCAATGTGGGAAAATAGGTTTTTAGACTTTCTTAAAAGACTTTGTTAAAATTTTAGGGCAAAATTTTCTTGATACCATTGTTTGATCTAACTTTACATTCTTTGATAATAATGTTTTAGAAAATGTACGCAATCAAAATTGGTAGTTATAGCCTCTGTTAACATAGACAGTATATGTTTTAAATCTTCATGTATGCCTGTTTTGACCCAAATCTGTGGAAGTATCATGTGTTAAGTTCTCCTTGTCTTCCTTTGTTCATTTACAGCTAAGTGACCTTGTTATTAAAGTATACGCATATATGGAATCTTGTGTACTTGGTGGTGGTTGTTTTTTCTTTTTAAGTTTTTGTTTTAGTTAAGGGGGAGAGCATTGTTCTGTGAGATGTGATTACAAATCAGAGACAGAGTCTATAAACCACACGTAACCATTCTGGATGAAGGAACAGCTCCCATTTATTTAGTAATATAGTATTTTTCAAAATTATTCCAAATAAGATTACTAACTTCCAGATGCTTTCTACTTTTTATAATACCTATCTGCAAGAAAGATTTAAAACCAAAGAGGTTATTTCAGATAATGGGGCTTATAACTATGAGTTAGTCACTACAGTTAATAATGTGGGCTCTGGAGTCAAAGGCCTGGCTCTGCCATTCATTTGAGATCTTGGGCAAGTTATTAACCTTCTGTGCCTTCTTTTTTCTTATTTATGATATGGAGATGAGAGTAGTATCTGCTTTATACTACATATGAAATGCTCATAACAGTGCCTGGCATGTGGCAGGTTAGTCAATAAGTGTTAGCTGCAGGGCTGCCATGCTTTATAGCTCCCTGGATCGTGCAGTGCATAGTCTGCCCAACTGTACGCTGCAGCTGTGGTTAGCTGTTGTTATTCTCATTACTGTTATTATCCCATTCCTGTCTCTCGTAGGCTAGTTTTTTCCTTTTGGAATTATAACCAGTGTTTTTTTTTTATTTTCCCACTCTTAGTTGTGATAGATGTTCAGTGTGATAATTGTATTTAAAGGTAACTTAAGAATAATTTGAGTCTAAAATCCAAAAACAGTAACATATTTTTATATGATACCCATTTTAAAAAGCATCCTGAATAATGAATTAACACTGATTGATAAGTTCCATTACTGAGAAAAGAAAAAAATGTTTTATCTTCTTTCACCACTCTTAACAAGGAGTGATATTTTAATTGTTTTTCATGATGCTTGTATTTAGCAACCTACTCTTTGGACCTGATTGTACTGTACAGCATTGAGAAATTCATAGACCTGGGATTTGCCATCATCATCCAGGGGAATAAAAGATTCAGGTTTTTTTTGTTTTTTTGTTTTTTGTTTTTAAGTAGGCTCCACGCCCAGTGTGGAGCCAAATGTGGGGCTTGTACTCATGGGCCTGAGATCAAGACCTGAGCAGAGATCAAGACGGACACCTAACAGACTGAGCCATCCAGGCGCCCCTAAAAGATTCAGTTTTAATGTGAATAAATATTTTAGTAAAAGAACATTGTTTCAGCATAGACACTGATACTTTACTTTTAAATGTAGGGGGATTTGGGCTTTTAGGGGGTTTTTGGAAAGCTTGTTCAGTTTGGTCTAAATTGTAACTAAAGAGAATCACCGAAAGGGAAAGACAGGTATTAGTGTATTCCAGGTGAGCAGATATTTGAATACATTGTTTTCCCCTAACCAGAAGGGTTAGTGTTCTGAAAACCGTGCTGGTGGTTGAGGGATTTAAGACTTTATATTCATTAGAGAAATATATCTTGAAATCTTATTAACAAAACCTGTTCTGTTCTGCAACTTGGAAAAACTGAGTTGAGGAAACGAAACTTTTGAAAGAACACATGCAAAGTTTTTATGCTTTTACATTCACTTGAAATAAATTAGTAAAATTGGGATATAAAAGACTGATAACAGTATATTTTTTAAAAGATTTTATTTATTTGAGAGAGAGCACAAGCAGGGGGAGCAGCAGAGGGAAAGGGAGAAGCAGACTCCCTGCTGAGCAGAGAGCCCAACATGGGGCTTGATCCCAGGACCCTGAGATCATGACCTGAGCCGAAGGCAGAAGCTTAACTGACTGAGCCACCCAGGCGCCCCAGTATATTTTTAATACATCTCTTAAGTACTAGAAACTTCAGGATCTTCCCACAATTTCCAACATGTTTGTAATTTTCTTATAGGTAATATCCATAATACTGGCTTCTTTTTTCCATGTCTCCATCCAAGTGCTTTTTTTCTGATTGCATTGCCCTAGAAATTCACTAAATACTTGGAATGAAAAAATCTTTAGGTAACATTTATTTAATACAGTTGGCACAGCTGACTTGGTCAGTTTCAAGTTTTGATTACAGTGCACATGATCATATGTATTACCATTTCTTATACAGCTATGTGGAGCCCTCGTACAAGCTAAGCTGCCAGCACCCTAGTGTACATGTGTGCTCCCTTCCTCCTGACCAGTGATTGCAGCATGCAGTTCTAAGGTGCTTGAGTTTACATTCCTTAACTGCCTTCCCTTCTCTGTATCCTATTCTGCAGTGAAACATTTTAGTTAATCCAGGTCCCAGATCCTTGAATTGCAGGAAAAAGTGTTCAATAAAGCCATGAATAATAGGATTTTTATATAAGGATCACTCAGAAGGAGAAGGGTTACTGGACAAGCATCCCTGACCTCATACACATGAGCTACTCATTTAATTCTAGAATGTCCCGGAAATCAGAGTTGATCTTGCGATAAAGAGCTAGGATTCTTTTTTTTTTTTTTTTAAGAGCTAGGATTCTTGCTGCTACTCAGTGTAATTAAAGTGCAAATGTCAGTCCATCTCAAAAAGCCTGTTGAGCACAAACTGAGTATTAAGGCTAGACTCCAGTTAGCATTTCCTGGGTTCCTATAATGTACCAAATATTGTTCATAGGAAAATAAATCCATAAGTTTCCACAAGGGGTTCACAAAGTGAGAGGGCAGTCTGGAAGAATTGCGGTGGTGTGTGTTCAACTGTGCACAGTGTGCTATGAAACCCATGAAGGGAGAGATCTCCAGCCTGGGAAAATCACAGCTTTCCCGACTCCCAACTCTATACAGGAGCATAGGACAACTAGGCAGGGTCGGGGCACCCTGTCTTTGGAAACATTTAACTCTAGTTGGGATTAATCATGTTATCGGTTGTTAATGTCTTTGTCCTTCACTGTCCTACATGTAAACTCCATCAGGACCGGGAATGTACTTTATTCCCCCTTGTCTTGTCCACTGCTGTCTTCTCATTGCTGTTTCACATGCTTGGAACTTAATAGGCATACCATAAGTATTTGTTGATTGATAGATAAATATAAGAATAAATGGGATAGACATTGGGACTGGCTTTAAGGAGAAATTAGTTTATGAGGTTGGCATCACTGGTAATAATTAGAATGTAAATCACTGGGCAGTTTATCGGCAAAGGCAAGTATTTAGGCGAAAGTGGCAGGGGGAGGCTTTTAAAGACATATCAAGACACAGTCGCTCACTACTGGGGGCGGGTGGGATGGGTAGCATTAAGGCTAGCTATGTTCCAAAGAGGTTTTTTGTTTTTTGAAATATATATATATAATTTTTTTTGTAAATTCTTTATCGAATTATTTTGGGAATTCTGAATGGCTATAGCTTCAAGATACAGCGGTTTCTGAGTTACTTTTACGTTTTTTCTTATGGGCTAGTGACATTCCCCAAGGGACAAAACGACCGGAACTCCCAAATTTTCTAAATGCTGGTAAGGAAAGAGTGTGAAAATGCCAGGCTCAATAATTGCTGCACCCGGCTCTGTTTCTGGGGAAGCTGATTCCCACGCTTGCCCGCCTCCGTCGCTCAGCCCCGCCTTGCGTGAGGGTCGCATGGCCTGCGTCCTGCACCTTGATTGGCTGAGTTGAGACTGAGGGGGCGTACGTCTGCGGGCTCACGGGTCTCCTGGGCCGTGATTGGCTGCGGGTAGAGGGGCAGGGGGCCGGGACCGCAGCGTTGAGAGAAACTAGTGACCCTGTTGGGACCCTAGTCTCGGGATCTTGACCCTTCTTCCCAGGCCTCGGGAAGACGGCGGGCCTCGGGGAACCTCGGTGGGGGGAGGGAGGAAGGACGGAGCGGGGGACCCGGGACTCACTGCGTCTTGCACGGAGTGGACAGGTGAGTCGCACCCCTTTCTCCGCCCCCGGGGGGGAGCCTCACCAGCAACACAGCGGCCGACAGGCAGGGGTCCGGGGTCGCGCACCGAGAAACGGGACTCCCCGCCAGCTGCTCAGCCTCCCTGGCCTGGGCTAATGCCCAGGCGCCATAGGTCAGAAGTTGCTCTGGATAAGCGCAGGCCCCACAAGATGGTTGTGTGGCTGTTAATCATTCCCCGAGATCTTCCTTTGGTCCTCATTTTTACTTATTTATAAACATTAGGGTTAATTTGAAACTGTCAGCAGATCATACATGTTCTAAAAGTAGAACTTAATTGAATTATTACTGGTGTTGTAGAGCAGACTGTATTAAGTATGAAAATTGTGCATATTCCAGAAGTAAACTTATCTCAAGAATGCTTAAGAAACATCAAGTATCTGGGAATAGACCACTTTGTGATTTAACAAACATTTGCCCAGAGCGTTGCTGTGTAGGGCACAGGGTAAGAGCTGTACTCTGGAGCCAAGGTGTTGGGTTTGAATCCAAGGTCTGCCCTTTGTTAGCTGAGCAACCTTGGGCAGGTTATTTTACCTGCATCTGTTTCCTCATCTTTAAAATGGGTTTTTGTGGTGATTTAATAACTTTTCTGAGTACTCTGTAAGTGGTTATGGTATTACCTCAGTGTAGTCTTCACAGTCACCCAGAATGTAGTGTCCCTATTTTCCTGACACTCCAGCTGAGGCACAGAGAGATGGTGTGACTTTCCCATGTCACAACACAACCAATGACCAGGAATTAAGTCCATACAGACCACAGTTTTACACACTACCTTAGGCTGCCTCATGAACTGGATTTGTTCATTCAGTTTCAGTTGACAGATACTTATTTTGTTCCTCTGTGGACCAAGTTCTTTGCTGGGTACAAGGGACAGAGAAGAACAGAACTCAGACCCTGCTCTCCCAGTGCTTGCAATCTAGTACAGGTTGTTTATAGCTGGGCTGCAGGGTGCCCATGAATCCTGGTAAAATCTTTTGCAAATGTTGTGAGTACAGGTCTTTTTTTTCTTTTTGGAAAGAGAGTCTGTGGCTCTTACCAGTTTCTCCAATGGGTCTGTGATCCAAAGTTATGAGGAAACATTTTAGCGGAACAGCTCGTATCTGACGTAATGCCTGACAACACAGCATGAGCTTAGAAAAAAAAAAAAACCTCTGGTTGAATGGATGAAGAACTTTACAGGAGTTTAAGTGCTACAGTAAGGTTAAGAGCAAGATGCAGTGGGAGAGCACACACAAAGATCCTCCTTGTCTAGGAATGCCTCCTAGAGTCAGCAATGCCAGTGAAGTGAAGGGTAGGGAAGCAATTCATTGGAACATGGTGGTGACAAGTCTCTGCCCTCCTGGAGGGTGAGACAGAAACAACACATGAACAGCTGCAGCTATGACAGGTGGCACAGAGGAGCAGTCCTGGTGCCATGAGAGCCTATAATGGGGACGGGAGACTTCGTCTATTCAAGATGGTCAGAGAAGTTTCCCTGAGAGAGTGACACTCAGACCTAGGAGTTAGGGCCACTTTGGGCATGGGGAACAGCCCTCAGCCTTCAAAGACCCTGTGGTGGGAACAGGCAGAGCACCAGGGACTTAAAAGAACTGGTGTGGCTGGTGGGGTTGGGGGTGGGGCAGATGGGCACAGATTCGGGTAGTGACAGAGCCCAGACAGAGAGGCCTTTTAGACCATGGTGTAAGGCATTTGTATTTTGTTTTATGTCTTTATCCTAAAGTGCCATTGAAAAGTTTATTGCAGGGAGGTGACAAGATCACATTTTGAGAAGAAGTTGGAGAGAAGCCTAAGTGATTAACTGAAGCCCTGGATGAGGACAGGATCTCTGAGGAGAAACTGTAAGGTAAGAAGAGGAGAGGGTCTAGAATCAAGCTTTGAAGATGAGCCTGCAAAGGAGATAAAGGGAAGTGAGAGTGTAGCAAGAGGGGGAAGAGAACTGAGAGTGGGAAGTCCTGGAAATCAGGTGAGAGAGTATTTCATGGAGAAAGTGGTCGACTGTGCTGGAAGCTGCAGAGGTCCGAAGAGACAGGAATGAACAGACCTCAGTGGCTCTAATCACATGGGAATTGTCTTTACTGGGGTCTATATAAGTAAGAGGAGAGGAATTGGAGAGAAAGAAGGATCTGCAAGAATTAACTGAGGGTAAGAGAAGATAGGGTTTTAGCTGGAGTGGCAGTGAGAAGTTCCATTGAGCTGAAGGGTGGGAGCCCCAGAGGGAAGGATACAGCTGAAGGAGTGAGTATGTGAGAAAAAAGGGCTCTGGAGGCTCTCTGTTCAGGCCAGAGAGGTTGGGATCAGTACAGAACCAGGGATTACCCTGGATGCTGAGAGGTGTAATTGTAGGAAAGGGGAGATAGCAGAAGGTTTAAGTTTGGTGTGATGAGTTGCTCTCCTTTCTTTGTACAGAGTAAAGGTGAGAGCGTTGGATGAGAGTGGAGTAGGGGTCGGGAGAAGCTGGAGGTCCAAGCTGAGGAGATTTGACATCGTTTTGGGGGTATGCAAGAGTGCATTGACCCAGAGATTGTTTTAGAATGGTCTGGCAGAGGGAGCCGAGTTTGCAGCAAAGAAATTCGCTTCCTGGCTCATTCAGGGAATTGCAAAATATCAGGAGAGTGAGGACGGAGGCTAGGTAGAATCAAAAGCTACATTTAATGTATAGTAAAGGAGACCTCACAAATCATGGGGAAGGAAAGGATTGTTCAAAAACAGTGCTTGGAGATAGCTAAAGTATTGATAATCTATTTAGACTTTCAGCTCACAACAGAAATTTCAAGTGAATTAAAGGAGCTAACTCCTTAAAATCAAAGAAAAATATAGAAGGACATATGGATGAATTTTTATCTGACCATGTGGTGCGTAAAAGCAGTAGGAATCATTAAGAAGAGGGAAACTTCCATGACCCTTGACCGCTTAAAATTAACCACTTTGTTCTGACATTTGCTATACTACGTACGAACTTTGAAGATGTTATGCCGAGTGAAACAAGCCAAATGCAACAGAACAAATATTGTATGACCACTTATATGAAGTACCAAGAATAGGCAAATCCCTAGAGACAGAAAGTAGAAGTTACCAGGGGCTGAGAGGAGGAAGGAATGGGGAGTTATTGTTTAATGGGAACAGAGTTTGTGTTTGGGGCAATGAAAAAGTTCTGGAAATAGTGGTAGAGGTTGTACAACTTTGTGAATTTACTTAATGCCACTGAATTGTATACCTAAAATGGAAATTTATACCTTACCACAATAAAAAAAAAAATGTAACCACTTTGGTAATGCTGGAATATACCATTAGCAACTGAAAGAGAATTGGAGAAAATCCAAAAACAAGAGGATTTTTTTTTTTTACTATATGAAGAATTTATGTAAGTCAATTTTTAAAAAACAGAAAGATTGCTGTTTAAAAAGGCAGGAATAGTTAACTCACAAAAGGAAATAAAGATGGCCAAAATAATTCATTAGGCTCAGCCTCATTAATAGAAGAAAATGGAGTTAAATTAGTACTGTGTTCATTTTTCACATATCAGAATTAAAATTGATGAACCAGTCATACTGCTTGTGACAAGGGCAACTGAGATCTTTTTTCTGGATAGTAAATTAACAACCTAGCTCTTCAAATGTTCCCACATCTCTTTTTCAGTAATTCTCCTAGGGATTCATCCTAAAAAATGTGGACAGATAATCAGCATATAACAAATACTACCAATAGCCCAAATACTCATTCTTAGGGAATGAATTACAGAATTACAGTGTATCTGTCATATGTCATGTACTCATTTTAAATGTTTATAGAGTGTTTTTGATGCCAAGTTTAGATACTTAGAGTGCATAAAATAAATCAATGTATATATAATTTGTGTTGATTAGAGAGGAGTCACAACATTTGTGCTCTTCACTTTTGCAGTCAACTGTGTTTGCTCATCAGAGAGAAAGAAAGAGCAAGATAGCATTAATCGTGGGACAACTCACGAGGCACATGATGGTTCATCCTGGAGTAAGCAGGAAATGTGAGATGGCCTACTTTACCCTCGGACTCATTGGGCAGGAGCATCTTTCCGTGGTCCATGTGGTGCTAACATTTAATCTGTCATTTTGTATAGTGTAACCCCCACACTAAGCCTAATAACTTCATCTGGTGTTTAGCCAAACACGGGGATCTCCTTCAGTGCTGAGGAACCCCTTGCTATGCTAGCCTTCCTGGAAGACATTGTATCAGTATTTAGTGTGGTGCCTGCTTAAGACATTTTCAAGAAAAATTCTGAGTCTTCACAGTTTCAGATTGTAGGCTGAGCTTAAGACCCTATTTCTCATATACAAGGGAGCCTTGCTTTATGTATTTAAAAATTAAAACCAAAGGGGCAAGAATCAGAAAAAAACAGACATGTATATCAGATATGCGCAGTTGTGAAGGACTCTTCCACTTCCTTATTCTTTTCAGAATTTGGCAAATTCCCTTTAGTGAGAGTGTATTGCTTTTATAAACAGTTATTTGGGACAACCAAAGCATTTAAAATACAGTTTTCACAATTTTCACTTATTCTTTGTAAATAATGTACTTCTGTCTAAAATACAATCTAAAGTTGTATTAGTACAAGAATTTTAGCTCCAGGTATTTCCTAGTAATGGCTACTATTTATTGAGTGCTTACTATGTACCTGTGCAAAGTATTGGACTCACAGTATCCCTGTAAAGTTTATGTACTTTCTTTCCCTTTTACAGATGGTACTATTAGTAGTCATACTTATTGAACATTTACTGTGAGGTACTGTTCTAATCACTACTTGTTTACTGACTTAATCTGAGGCTGAGTAACTTTCCCAAGATGACCCCATAAATTAGAACCAGGACTGAGCATGGACATTTTGGCAACAGAGCCCACGCTTCTTCCAGCTTGTGGTACAGATGTTGAGGCCCAAGACTGTGGAGTATGGGGCTCCAGATTAGATCTGCATGTACCCATCCTCATTATGTAGTATCTCCTCCTTACTGTTAAAATCCATGGTCCTCCTAGAAATTTTAAAATAGCTTAATTAGGAATCCTCTCAAGGAAACTGGTATTAGGAATTATATGAACAAAACTCTGGTTGAACCACCAGTAGTAAAACAGAAACTGTGCCTACAATTATTTGGGACACCATGGGCACTAACAATGAGCTATTATTACAAATGGTAAACCAAACTGAGAACATTGTTACTTTTTATTTTTCCTTAGAGAATAGCAATTTATTTGCATTAGGACAGGCTTGAAAGTGAAAAGTCCTTGACATATATGGCAATGGCATTATTAAGGGCAGAGATTGGATTATGGCTTTTTTCAACTTTCCTTCAAACCTACAAGTAATAAGGGAAGGCTGTTGACTAGCTAAACAGTTAATGCTTTTGTGGCAGCGATTCGACACTTAACACTCCCAGCTACTAAAAGTTAAAACGGGGCGCCTGGGTGGCTCAGTGGTTAAGCGTCTGCCTTTGGCTCATGTCATGATCTCAGGGTCCTGGAATCGACCCCTTGTCAGCTCCCTGCTCAGTGGGGAGTCTGCTTCTCCCTCTTCCTCTGCTTCTATCCCCCTCCCCCATTTGTGCATGCTCTCTAATAAATACAGTCTTAAAAAAGAAAAAAATTAAAACAACAAACTAGGCATGTTTACATTACCAGAGATAACAAGAAAATAGTGCCGAAGTCCATAATGCGTTAGGCACAGTATAGCCATCTCTAGGGACCTCAAGCTGTCAAGTGGGGACAGCTGGTTAGACTGTTGTAAAAGTACGGTCCCCATTCCACTTAATTTGATTGCCCATTGCTCCACTGGGGCAGTCACATAGCATTCCTCACATTATCTGGCTAAGACTTACTTTAATTTTGGATTTATAAAAAGGATTTTCATATAATTCTCATAAAACAAGTTTATACTTATTAACTCATTTTAAATAAATTGACTTTGGATAATAATTATTCAGCAGAAATATTTACTCTAAAATATAAAATTAGAGATGACTCCCCTCCCCAATAAGTGTTTGCTTCAGCTAAACATAAACTTGAAAATGTAAAATGTTAAAAAAAAATTTAAAAACTGTGTGTGTGTATATAGAAGTAAAATATGTGTGTGTGTGTATTATAGAAGTAAAATATGTCTCCTAAAGAAAAACATAACAGAGTTGTAAGAAAGGGAATTTGTGTCAGAGTAACATTTGAGGTCTTTGAACTCTTCAGGGCCTTGCTACTGATCTGTAAAATGGAAATTACTTCACAGGGTTGTGGCAAAGCTCACAAAGACAATGTGTTTATAATGTATAAGATGTCTAAGTTGTGAAGAGGTATGTTAGTTTCTTTATAAATTATTTAAGAGTATATATGTAATATTCCACAAAAAGTTTGAGGCTAACTTTGGCAAAATTCAGTTTTCCTGTCTAATTTAAATCCACGTTATTTCTGTCTACTGCTTAGAGCCCGGATTTATGTTTGCATTCTAAAAGTCAGTGCCCCTTATGTTAAACCCTGTGTTTTCTTTGTTACAGGTAGGCTGAGTACATTCTGAGTCCCTAGGACGGTGGGAATGAGCCAGTGGACTGCCAGCATGCTGTGGAAATTGCTGATAAGCTCGCAGCCCTGCAGGCTGTGTTCTTTCAGAAAGATGCTCTCAGCTTCAAAATACAGACCCTCTTTAGCATGCTTCACCTATACAACTGATCGTCAGTCAAACAAAGAAAATAAAAGAACAGTGGAAAACCTCTATAAATTTTCAGTGGACATCAGGAAAATACGCAGATTAAAAGGATGGGTACTTTTTGAAGATGAAACCTATGTTGAGGAAATTGCAAATGTTTTACAACTACTAGGTGCCAGTGAAGCTGCTATAGGCAGTATTTTGGAACAGTGCCCAGAAGCAATTGTCTGCAGTCCAACCACTTTTAACACCCAGAGAGAACTCTGGCAGTTGGTCTGCAAAAATGAGCAAGAGTTAGTCAAATTAATAGAACAGTTTCCAGAATCTTTCTTTACTGTTAAGGACCAGGAAACCCAGAAGCTGAACATTCAGTTCTTTCAAGAGTTGGGACTCAAAAATGTGGTCATTAGCAGATTTTTGACAACTGCATCTAATATTTTTCATAATCCTATTGAGAAAAATAAGCAAATGATAGGTATTCTCCAAGAGAGTTATCTAAATTTAGGTGGCTCCGAGGCCAACATGAAAGTTTGGTTACTGAAATTATTAAGCCAAAATCCATTTATTTTGCTAAATTCTTCTGCAGCTATAAAGGAAACACTAGAATTTCTCCAGGAGCAAGGTTTCACAAACTCTGAAATTCTCCAGCTTCTATCCAAACTCAAAGGATTTCTTTTTCAGCTTTGCCCAGGAAGTATACAGAACAGCATTTCCTTCTCTAAAAATGCTTTTAAATGCACAGATCATGACCTGAAGCAATTAGTTTTGAAATGTCCTGCCATTTTATATTATTCTGTTCCAGTTTTGGAAGAGAGAATTCAGGGATTACTGAAAGAAGGAATTTCCATAGCTCAGATAAAAGAGACGCCAATGGTGCTTGAATTAACTCCACAGATAGTACAGTACAGGATAAGGAAACTGAATTCCCTAGGCTGTAGAATAAAGGATGGACATCTAGTAAATCTAAACGGAACAAAAAAAGAGTTTGAGGCTAACTTTGGCAAAATTCAGGCCAAAAAAGGAAGGCCATTATTTAACCCTGTGGCACCATTAAATGTTGAAGAGTAACTTGGGGACTGCTGCTGCTTTCTAGCATTGCAGAGTGAAGCTGAGGGGCAAAGACTTAAGTGGTTCAGGCAGTTTACAGGCACTAGTAATTTTAAGAAACTACTTAGCTTCTGAGTTGTGTCTAAGTTACCTCTGAGTAGATAATCTCGGATTCATTTGCTATATTTTAAACTATAAACTGCATTTATTTTAAATAAAGTTGGTAATTTTTACCTTGAACTGCTATGTCAAAAAACTCCTGTACTAGTGAATGGCACATCAGAGTGATAACTTTATAAGTGAATCATTTCTAAGAAATTGACAAGTGCACTCCCTTAATTCAAAGTATGGATATGTTTTTATTTACATAGCACACGTCATCTGGGATATAGACCCAAGTCGTCTTCCTCACCACCAGCTCTGAAACACCATTCTACTGTGGTCTGAATCCTGTAGCTTAGTGTTAAGTGAAATTAGCAAACTTCTATTTTTTTTTTTTTTTAGAAAAAGCTGATTTCATCTCTTGGTTGGGATAAATGAGTGCCTTTGAGAACCAAGTATTTCTCATTCAAAAAGAATAGAGCTTACTTGTGTGGTTAGTTTAAAACTGACCATCTCCTCTTATAGAACTCTTTTATGTGCATTCATTACTTTCCCCATTTTATAGATGAGGAAACAAGCTTAGAGAGTCCTGCCAAGTGATAGAGCCCAGATTTACTATGATCTGACTTTGTTGAAACCTGTGAATAGAAAAAGGATTGCTTTAAAGCCACACCCTGGGGTGCCTGGGCGGCTCAATAGGTTGAGTGTCAACTCTTGGATTCAGCTCAGGTCCTGATCTCATGGCTCCATGCTCAGTAGGAAGTCCGCTTGGATAGTCTCTCCCTCTGCCCTGTCCCCCTCTTGCATGCTCTCTCTCTCTCTCAAATAAATAAAGGAGTCTTTTAAGAAGAAAAGCCATATCCTTACCTGACATGCCAAAGGAGTACCAACAACAAACTTAGGGATTTTTATGTAAAATTCCTTAAATATGAAGTGATCTAATTTTTTTTTTAAAGATTTTATTTATTTGACAGGGAGAGATAGCGAGAGCAGGAACACAAGCAGGAGGAGTGGGAGAGGGAGAAGCAGGCTTCCCGCCAAGCAGGGAGCCCGATGTGGGACTCGATCCCAGGACCCTGGGATCATGGCCTGAGCCGAAGGCAGACGCTTAACGACTGAGCCACCCAGGCGCTCCTGAAGTGATCTAATTTATATACATTTGAAGTAAGCAGCTTTTTAGAAAACTCTAAAAATCCAGGTCTGGCTCTGAAAGGGAAAGCGTGTGATGGTACCGATTTTAGTAGCATTCCAAGTTTCTATTTCTAAATCTTGGTCCAAGATAAACATTATACAGATATAGACTGGCTCACTTTCAGCTGTGTTTGAATTTTGTAACAAATACACAACCAAACAGTTGGCTCTGACAAACACCTGTATCCTACGTGTGCGTGGCCTTAAGTAATGAAAAACCTATTAAAAATGCAGGCCATGTCTTTTTTCAATAAGCAAATGCAAGTAACCCTCACTATCCAAATCTGTTTGGTTCCTTAGGGTAGTGAATGATACTCCCATGTAGCACCTACTAGGTGCCAGGCGTGCTGTATTTTAGAGCCCTTACAGTTGAGCACCGCCATTTACTGTTACACAAGTGAGACGCAGGCACAGGAAGGGTGTCACCCAAAGTTAAACAGGAATGTTTGTTCAAGAAAAAGAACGACAGGCAGCAACAGTTGGGGCAGGACTATCAGGGAGAGTGGGACAGGATGAGTGTCACCTGTCCATCTAAGGAACAGGATTTCGTCCTAAGTGTGATGGGAAACCTTTGGAACCTTTGGAAAGAAAGTGGTGTTTCAGAGCTGGTGGTGAGCAAGATGACTTGCGTCTATACCCCAGATGAAATGTGCTATGTAAAGTTCGCTTGTTGTCCTGACATAATTATAAGTGGTGTGCCTATCTTCCACTCAGAAGTGTCCTAGTTTGGAACAGATTATACATTTATACGGTTACCTTAGTTCTAGTTCATTTTGAGATACCTACTAAATATCTGAGCAGAGATGTCAAACAGGCAAATGGGAAAGTCTGGAACCGAGAGAAGTCAGAACGGGAGATATTCAGGGATCATCTGTGTTTCTATGATGACTCTAGGGGCGCCTGGGTGGCTCAGTCGTTAAGCGTCTGCCTTCGGCTCAGGTCATGATCCCAGGGTCCTGGCATCGAGCCCCGCATCGGGCTCCCTGCTTGGCGGGAAGCCTGCTTCTCCCTCTCCCATTCCCCCTGTTTGTGCTCCTGCTCTCGCTATCTCTGTGTCAAATAAATAAATAAAAAAAAAAAAAAGCTACGACTCTAAATGAGATTGCCCAGAAATAAGTATAGATTTGTAGTAGTGGCTGGCCACACCTGGAAGGAATTGACCAAAAGAGGTCTGCCAAGAAAAGAGGGCATGGCCAATAATATTGAATGCCATGGGGTGGTCAACTAAGATATAAAGTGACCAGTGGTTTTGGCAAAAAGGAAATCATTGGCCCTATGGAGAGCGATTCTGGTGCAATGAGAAAGGTAAAAAGGCAACTGGAGCGGGTCTCGAGAACAGGAGATAAGTAAGATGCAGAGACTATATAAAGTTTCTCAAAAATACTGCGAAGGGAAGCAGGAAAATGATGGTTGTAAGATTAAGCATAATTTTTCTTTAAAGAGAGCAAATACCAGAACATGTTTATATGCTGATGAATATGACCCAGGAGAGAGAGAGGGATGAGATGGAAAAACTGCAAGATGAATATCCTGCAGGAAGTAAAAGCGGACTGACTTAGGATCAGAGCAGAGATTGTGGTCCACAGAGCATGGGGACGGATGCAGGCAGGGTGATGGGGTAAGTGGTGTGAGAGGAGAGTTGCTGTCAGGTTGCCTCTTACAAAGGGCAGTAGAGTGGGAGGGGAGTACTGCAGGAGGGCTGGAAGGAGAAGTGTTGTTTTGAGGAATAAGAAAATGAACATACAAGATATGTAAGAAAGTTTGGCAGGGTTGAGTGGCCATTTGCAAAAAGCCTAGTCAGTACATCAGCAAAATTGTGCTCAGGTCCAGGCGTGGAAAACCAGAGGCAGTCACAGTTCTAGAAATACATGTGTAGCTTACTCTGACTTGACAAGATTAAATTTTTAGAAAATACACATTCATGGCCAAACATAGTCTACGGACTTTATTTTCCCTTAGACCAATTCCTATTCCACTAGTTTTTAGCCCTTGAACCTTTCTGCCTTTTTCCATAATTGCATTCTTATTTAGGTCTTCCTAAGAATAAAATTTGAAATCTTCAAAGTCAACAATGTAGCAAGGAGAGACAGCCTTACATAAAACACTAGAGTCAGATTTTATTTCCTCCGTGGAAAAAAAAAAGGCTCAAATAACAAAATTATTTCAACAGTTTATAACTACACTAAATTCATTTCTGTGACAAAATGTAATTAGCTGCCAAAATAAATATGATTACCTATAAGACTTCCAGGGAACTCAAGTTAGCCTGGGAAATCAAGCGTATAGTCAGCACTGACTGCCAACAGCAGAATGAAATACTAGTTGCTGAGTAGCCCCATTTCTGTTTCTGGATATTAACTGGAGAAGTTGTGACTTACTCGAATTCAAAAGTGATAATGGGAAATTGCTAACACGGAAAGCCTGTTTCGTATTTGTAAAAAGAGGTACTTATCCAGCACTGATTAAATCAGATAATGTATGGACAGCACCTGGCAGGTAAGTAGATACCCAGTATATATCCATTTTCTACCTTCCTCCAACTGGTTCCCATCTCTTTGAGTCACTTGTGTTTAGTGAGGGGTGCAAGTTGGTTCCATAGTTACTTAGGACAGAGTAAAGTGCTCCCTACTTCTCCATCAGATCCCAAATTGTAGACAAGAATCACCTGTGGAGGCTGTTAAATTGCAGTCCTGGGGCCCCACCCTGCAGAGATTCAGAAAGTTGGGGTAAAACCTAAAAATCTGCATTTTTAATCTTCATCAGAGTTGACTAAAATATATTTGCATTTCATTGTCTTGGTATCAAAATACATATTCAAAGATGTTTTGTCATGTTTGTGCATTAGTATCAAAAATTAAAAACTGACTACAGTACTTTCTGAACTATAAAAATTCTAAGACTGCCCTGTTTTTCCTTCAAATTTCCTTTATTTCCTTAGATCTTTATGAAACATTTCATCTTTTGCAGATCATAGTGCTTTATTAACAGATTTATGTATTCTTTTCCCATTCCTTTAATACAAAAAAAATTTTATTAATCACCAGTCATCTTCATCTGACATTTCACTAAGTACAGGATTCATGTCAACATTATTAGATCAGTCATTCAAGTGGGTCACACAAGTTCCTCCTCATTGTGCCAAATACCCACTCAACAGATACACTGAATAACAGACGCCTCCAAGGGTATGTATCAACCTTAAGTTTCTTGAAGTGAACCAGTACTGTTTCACAGGTCAAGTTGCTAGTCTACACAAATAAACTGGAAAAGACTCAAGTGTACAGCTGTACATATCATCAAATGGCAAGTTCATTACAACAAGAACCTCTATAACTAACCATTCATTTGTACACTTCTCTGCCATCCTTGCAAAAGCCTCCCCTGAATAAAGTTATAGTTCAGAGTTTAAAACAAACTTGATGAGATAAAATGTACCAGGTGGCTTTTCTACCAGGTGGCAGAAATTACAACCATTTTTCCTCAAGCAATTTTAAAGACAAGCAAGGTTGAAAATAAATATGCAAGCACACAGTAAACTAAAGTCTGTGTTTAGAAATTCAGGTACAAAGCACAGCAGAGCCTATGACTATAGAAGATAAATTAGAAATATAAACTAGCAATGAAGCAATAATTTCTTTCAAATAGCAGGAAACAAGTTCTCCAATACCATTATTTAGATCATTGTTTAGTGTTCATCTATTAACTTTGGAGTTTCTTTTAAAAATCCCTTTTGCTGATTATGACATTTGACCAGATATACCAACAAATATACCTTAAATCATAGTGCATGAAATAAACGACCATTTAATTTCTGATGAACTCAACAACTTTTCAGTTTTCTATGTAGCGGTAGGTTCAAGAACCTTTGTAGATTTGCTTAAGATCCCTACTGGTGTTTATGAAAGCTTTTAAAAGTTATGTTCTTATCCATTTGTTGTTCCACATTATTAATGTAAAACTCTTAGTGGTTTAGAAACAAACATTTATAAGCTTTGG